GTGGGCCTGCTCGGGTGTTGGCCTTTTTGGAAGGTGGGTGGGGGACCACTTGGGCTGTGTAGTGGTTCTATGGCAGCCTGTGGCCGTCCTCCTGGAGGGGGTTGGCCCCTAGTTTAGCTGGGTTTTCTATCGGGAGGTTGCTGCGGATGTGCTCACTTCTGGGACTCTTAGTTATTACTTTGGTGTTCTGTTCTGCTGTGTTAATTGCCTTTTTTCCCCCTGGGGGCTTATGTTTTTGATGTTTTCATTTGCAGCCATACATCCTTCAGGTGTAGGAGGATGCATGTCACCATTGACGTGACACGTTTGTACTGCTATATATATTTCTTGTTTCTTTTTTTTCTCCCTTCTTTCTTTTCCTTTCTGTTTTTTTGTTTTATCCTTATGCAGGTTTCGGGATGCCATGGTCCGAAGGCAATTGGGAGTGGTAACTGGTGGCCAACCTATGCTTTTTCTGCTGAGCGTGCTGTGCTGATACCGCCATGGCCTCACCCCTTCTGAAAGTATACTCACAAAATGTTCAAGGTTTCAATTCGTCTCAGAAGCGGGCTAAAGTTTTTCATCACCTCAAATCGCAACAAATTGACGTGGTATGTTTAAAGGAGACCAGGTTTTCTCAGTCCTCCCCCCCTCCGCGGTACCTTTCGCCTCACTTTCCCACCTTTTACACTGCCTCGGCCCCTGAGAAACGCCAGGGTGTACTAATAGCTTTCAAGTGCCATCTTCCTTTTTGTCTGTGCTTGGAATATAGCGGACCCCACGGGTAGGTACTTGCTTCTGCAGGGCACCCTCTGGGATCAGGAGGTTACCTTTGTCTCTTACTATGCACCCAATCGCTTTCAACATAAATTCTTTTCTCATCTTTGCACCATTGTCTCCCGACACTCCAAGGGTCTTCTTTTTCTTTTGGGAGATTCTAATGTTACCTTGGATTTCACATTGGATAGACGCTATGCCCAGGGGGCGGCTCCCTCTCACGACTTAGTGCTAGAGGAATGTATGCGCTCTCTCTTGAGGGCGGCGGGGCTGGCGGATGTCTGGAGAGAACTTCACCCAACTGAGCGTGTCTTTACATTCTACTCCAACCCTCATGACAGTTTTTGTAGAATTGACCATATATTCATGCATATTCAGCAGCTTCCTTTGGTCAGGTGGATAACTATTCCCTCCTCGCCCTGGTTGGACCATAATCCCCTGGTACTCCTCCTGGCCCTTTCTGGGTCGGTGCAGCGTCCTTTTCACTGGCGCATTAATGATTCCTTATTGACCAATCGGGTCACTTGCCAACAAATAGAATCTTTCATACGCACATATTTCACGGAAAACTTGGGATCTGTTACTTCGGCAGCTCCCCTGTGGGAGGCGCATAAAGCCACGGTGCGGGGTCAGGTTATACAGCTGGTGGCGGTTCGAAAGCGGGAACAGGGGAGCTTCATTCTCTGTTGGCCTCTGCGGATGCTCGTTGGAAGTCATTCCCATCCATGGCCCATAAACGTGCTCAGGACACCCTGCGGCAGAGTTGGATCTACTTGCCTCTTCAGAGGCGGAACGGGCCCTGCGTTGGACCAAACACAAATTTTATTCCTGTGCGAATAAGCCCGGCCCGATGCTGGCCAGGAAACTCAATTCTGTGGGGAAACCCCACAAACCGACCCGATTGTGACTTCCCGTGGGTGGCTGTACTTCTAATCCTCAGCAGATTGTCTCCCGTTTTGCGGACTTTCTCTCGCGCCTTTACGCTAAACCAGATCCCTTCCCTGTGGCTCAGGCAGAGGCATTTTTTCAAGACCTCCACCTTCCTGGGACTATCTGAGGCAGCGCAGAAGGCCCTCAATGCCAGTGTCACCGTACCAGAAGTGCTACAAGCTTTTAAATCTCTACGGTCCACCGTGGGCCCCGTGTCCAGATGGCTTTTCCGGACTCTACTATAAGAAATTTGCAACCCTGTTAGCACCTTTCTTTGTTTATTATTTTAATGAGTTACGACAGGGCTCCTTGCCCTCTCCAGACGCGCTTAGAGCTCATATCTCTATGATTCCTAAGACGACCGATGATGTGCGGGAACCGCAAGCCTTTTTGGCCCATTTCGCTTCTTAATGAAGACCTGAAGATATTAGGCAAGATTTTTAGCTGTCGTATCAATAAATATTTGCGTAGCCTGATTCACAGGGACCAAGTGGGTTTCGTCCCTGGGAGACAGGCGGGTGATAACGTTCGTAAGGTGGTCCATCTTATACATTTTCTACAACAGCGGAAAATACCGGGATTCTTACTGTCCTTAGACATATATAAAGCCTTTGATTCTCTATCCTGGGACTATCTGCGGTTTGTGCTGTCTCGCTGGGGTTTTGGGGACTCTATTCTTTCTTGGATTCAAGCCATGTATTCTTCCCCTTCGGCTTTAAATACGTTAAATACGCTGGGTATTTCTCAGATTCCTTTTCTATTTGGCGAGGGTACGAGACAGGGATGCCCCTGTCCCCAGCACTCCTTGTCCTGCCGCTTGAGCCGTTGGCTATGGTGCTCCGGACTGTATTGTAATGTATCGGGGGTTCCATACGCTGGACAGGAGTTCAAGTTGAACCTTTTTGCAGACGATGCCCTCTTGACTCTCACTAACCCCTTGATGACCCTTTCAAATTTGCAACAGGTTTCTTGAGCGCTTCTCCTTGATTTCGTTCGGTCTCTGTATCAATTTGGATAAGACTGTCGCGCTTAATATTACTTTGGCCTCAGATTTGGTTTTGCGCCTACAGTCCCACTTCCCTTATAAATGGGCTTCTTCTTCTCTTGAATACCTAGGCATCCGCTTAATCCCCACCTATGACTCACTGTTTGCTGCAAATTACTATCCATTGCTTCGGTCTGTGTCCTCTCTTATGCATTCTTGGCAATTTCTGCACCTATCATGGATAGGACGGATTAATTCAGTAAAAATGACCATCTTGCCGAAATTGTTATTTATACTATTTTCGCACCCTCCCAGTGTGTGTTCCTCCTCATTTCCTTCGGTTGCTTCAGGTAAAGGTTATGCGTTTTTTATCTGGGCCGATAAACGCCCCAGAGTTTCCAGAACTACGCTTTTTGTCCATAGACTCCAGGGTGGCCTTGGGGTTCCCAATGTTACTAAATATTATCAGGCGAGCCAGATCGCCCCGTTATCTATGTTGCATGCTTCCTCAGACATACCTCTCTGGGTCCTCCTGGAATTACCTAATTGTGCTCCTATTGCGATATCAACACTTCTATAGCTTCCCCCTGCCCTGCTCCCCACGGAACTGAGTCCAATTTTCCTCCATGGCTTACAAGTGTGGGACTCGGTACGTTACTCCAGTGGCCTAATGTCACCTTTTTTGCCTTTGCTCCCAATCACTAACAAACCCCCTCTTCCCACCAGGTTTAGATCAACAAAGGGCGTTTTCTTGGTGGGTGACCAATGGTTTTTCACAGGTACGACACTTTTTGATCTCTCGGGCCTTCCCTACCTGGAATTCTCTTCGGGAGTCACGGGATGTCCCTCCGGCGGAATTTTTTCGTTACCTTCAGTTGCGGCATTGGCTGCTCTCATTGCGGGGCACTTCTGTCTTCCCGTACCAGATACCTGCCATTGAACTGCTTTGCCAACAGCGGCCGGGCGCCCCAGGCCTTATTTCCCTTCTTTATGCAGCTTTGAATAGACTCTTGTCGCATACTTCTCTTTCATATGTCGTTCAGTGGGAGAGTGACCTGGGAGTGGCTGTGGATCCGGGGGACTGGAATAAGGCCTGGTCACTCATAGCTAAATGTTTATTTAATACAACCACGCTGGAGGCGGCTTACAAGGTATTGTTTTGTGTTGGTATTGAGTTCCGGCTCGTTTGGCACAGGCAAATCCTGCCTGCAGTGATCGATGCTTTCGGGGTTGTGGCCATCGTGGTGATGTATTGCATATCTGGTGGTCATGCCCGAGGCTGCTTCGTTTTTTGGTCTCGTGTGTTTGGCCTCCTTTTCACCTTGTTCCATCTCTCTATACGACGGGATGCTCGGTATGCTTTGCTTCATTGTCCCATACTGGGCCTCTTGGCTCATCAGCAGAAGTTGGCTTCCTATTTGTTTTTGTCGGCCTCTAGAACAATTGCTCAGGCCTGGAAGAGCCGTTTGTCCCTCTTCAGGGGGTGCGGGGACCGTATGACCACTAAATGCTCAATGAACAGATGTCGAGTATCTGCAACGACTCCCAAAGTAAATTCTTGAAAATATGGGAGCCGTGGTTGCAATATACCTTTTCCCACGCTCCCCCCGGCTAGTCTGGGGATGTGATGTTGTTCTGCTTTGGCGTTCTTGGATCCCTGCTCTTGGTTTGGTTATCTTTTTTGCTTTTGTACTTCTCCTTCCTCCCCCCCCCCCCCCCCCCCCTTTTTTATTTTTTTTTTTCTGTTTGCTTTTGGTGTGGCAGTGGATAGCTGCCTTTAGTCTGAGTTATTATCAGTGTTATATTTATGTTTTGTTATTTAAGTGCCATTGAGAACCCCCGAGTGGGCGATCTTTTTTCCTGTTGGTGTTAGAGCACTGATTTCTTCAATTTTCTACTTCTTTTATGTGCAATTGATAGCCCCTGCGTGGGCGTTATTTGTTGCTCCTGTGTTAATTGTTATTAATTAATAAAAACCATTGAAATACAAAGCATAGGCTCCTTTTCCACCCTCATAGTCTCTACTGAAGTATGAAAGTGAAAAGCTTCTTGTCAGGAATCAAGGAATGACCAGAAAGGTGTGGACTGACACAGGGAAACGCAGGTCTCAGGTACAATACAATACAGGTTATTATTAGCCACCCATATATATATATGTATAAACGCACAGTGAACAAACTAACCTTCCACTAATCTTAGGAGGTGCAGGAACACAGGCGTAGTCAGGGCTGGAGAGGTGGAATGGTCAGGCCGGCCGTAGGGTTCTGTAACGACTGCCTGGTGGTACCTCTAGCGGTCGTCAGGGCAGGATTCCCCAGGGCGCGGAGTCTAAGCCCCAGTCTGCCTCTTCACCAGAGCCCTGATGGTGGGGATGGACTTGGCGCAGGACTGAGACCAGGTCGCGGCCCCTGAGTACACCTGCTAGTGGTAGAGGGATCCGCCAGAGGTATGTGCAGGTACGGCTGGATCCGTGCAGGATGGATGGATGGCAGAGTAGTTAGCGTGGTCAGACAAGCCGGGTCGGTAACAGTGGAGGCAGATCAGTACAGAGCAGCAGGCAAAGAGTAAACGGGTCACAAGCCAAGGTACAGCATAGGAGTAGGCAGAAGAATAGTCAGGGATGAGCCAGTAGTCAGAACAGGAGACGGTCAACAGAGATCAGGATCAAGCCGGGTCAGCAACGAAGCAAGAACACAGGATACAGGTACAGAGGCTCATGGGAAGACATACACCAAGGCCCAGAGCACAGGCCTGGTCATGCCTTATATACACCTTTCTGTAATCAGCCCCAGGTTTGCTGCTGATTGTGAGCTTCTGGCTGCTAAGAGCACCCGCTGGTCAGCTCTGGTACTGCAGCCCACACGGCAGGTGAGTTCCACCACCAGTGCTGAGAGCACCCGCTGGTCAGCTCTGGTACTGCAGCCCACACGGCAGGTGAGTTCCACCACCAGTGCTGAGCACCCGCTGGTCAGCTCTGGTACTGCAGCCCACACGGCAGGGGAGTCCCACCACCAGTTCTGAGTCCATTCTTGACAGTACCCCCCCCTCAAGGAGCGGCCTCAGGACGCTCCAAACAGTCCTTAGTGGGCAAAATGTTCCACCGCCCGGGTCAGGTAACTGGCTGAATATCCTACTGCCGGAGTAAACCGGCTGGCTGGGTTTCCTGCTGGTAGACTTCTCTTTGTGTAGGAGAACCCAGGAAGGCAGGTCACTGGGCACAGGATTTCCAGGAGCAGGCTGGGTATCAGTTATCGGCCAGTTTAACTGGACATCAGGGGCTGGCATGTTGGGCTGTGCAGCAGGCAGAGTGGCACGTCAGCGGGGCACCGAGTCATCTGGCACGACAGCGGGCACAGAGTCACCGGGCACGTCAGCGGACACCAAGTCACCGGGCACGTCAGCGGGCACCAAGCCATCTAGCAGAACCGCAGGTACCGGGTCACCAAGCTCGACAGCAGGCACCAAATTAACTGGCACAACAGTGGGCACTGAATCAACTGGCATGACAGCGGGCACCGAGTCATCAAGCATCAAGTCATCCGGCTCAACAGCGGGCACTGAGTCAACTGGCACCGAGTCAACTGGTACGACAGCGGGCACCAAGTCGACTGGCACCGAATCATCAGGCATCAAGTCATCTGGCTCGACAGCGGGCACCGAGTCAACTGGCACGACAGCGGGTACCGAATCATCAGGCATCAAGTCATCTGGCTCGACAGCGGGCACCGAGTCAACTGGCACCGAGTCAACCTGCAGGATGGTACAGTGAGTGGGAGCAGGGTACTGACATGTGGTAGATTGCTGGGTATACTGGGCTGTCCCTGGGGGGGCTGTCACTGGGGGTGCTGTCGGGAATGCAGGAAAAGAGCTTTGAGCAGAGGAATGATAAGCAGGACTGGTTTGTTGCAAGCTGATTGAGGCTGGGTGTAACAAGTCTGACCATGTCTGCAGTAATGGTTGGACAACGCTCAGCTTACACAAGGCCTGTCTGGTCAAAGATTGCACTGCGTTTATACACTTCTTTAGCACATGTGGTGAATATGCTGAATAATGCTCCAAGAAGCAAATCCGGATCATCCTCCAACAACCATACCAGTGATATTATTTGACTCGCCCTGAATGGAGGAAGAAATTCATCCCTGCTTTCAGGGGTACTAGATGAAGCCACTTCAGCACAAGCCTGAATCAATGGTTGCACCTCAGAGAGCTCTAGGACCTGACCTACTAGGGAATGAGCGACCCGTATGCACTCTAGTAGCTGATCCCTGGTATAGTCCCGCAGAGTCTGATAGGCATATTCTCTGTCATCAAAGACTAGCATAGACAAATATATAACCTCATCAGGATGCATCCTTCACAACAAGTCAAGATGGCTTCCCTGTGCAGCCACTTCTGGTCAGGAATGGCCTTGGTGTGATGTCAGGAATCAAGGAATGACCAGAAAGGTGTGGACTGACACAGGGAAACGCAGGTCTCAGGTACAATACAATACAGGTTATTATTAGCCACCCAGATATATATATGTATAAATGCTGCACAGTGAACAAACTAACCTTCCACTAATCTTAGGAGGTGCAGAAACACAGGCGTAGTCAGGGCTGGAGAGGTGGAATGGTCAGGCCGGCCGTAGGGTTCTGTAACGACTGCCTGGTGCTACCTCTAGCGGTCGTCAGGGCAGGATTCCCCAGGGCAAGGAGTCTAAGCCCCAGTCTGCCTCTTCACCAGAGCCCCTGATGGTGGGGATGGACTTGGCGCAGGACTGAGACCAGATCGCGGCCCCTGAGTACACCTGCTAGTGGTAGAGGGATCCGCCAGAGGTATGTGCAGGTACGGCTGGATCCGTGCAGGATGGATGGATGGCAGAGTAGTTAGCGTGGTCAGACAAGCCGGGGTCGGTAACAGTGGAGGCAGATCAGTACAGAGCAGCAGGCAAAGAGTAAACGGGTCACAAGCCAAGGTACAGCAACAGGAGGTCAAACAGCATAGGAGTAGGCAGAAGAATAGTCAGGCATGAGCCAGTAGTCAGAACAGGAGACGGTCAACAGAGATCAGGATCAAGCCGGGTCAGCAACGAAGCAAGAACACAGGATACAGGTACAGAGGCTCATGGGAAGACATACACCAAGGCCCAGAGCACAGGCCTGGTCATGCCTTATATACACCTTTCTGTAATCAGCCCCAGGTTTGGCTGATTGTGAGCTTCTGGCTGCTAAGAGCACCCGCTGGTCAGCTCTGGTACTGCAGCCCACACGGCAGGTGAGTTCCACCACCAGTGCTGAGAGCACCCGCTGGTCAGCTCTGGTACTGCAGCCCACACGGCAGTGAGTTCCACCACCAGTGCTGAGAGCACCCGCTGGTCAGCTCTGGTACTGCAGCCCACACGGCAGGGGAGTCCCACCACCAGTGCTGAGTCCATTCCTGACACTTCTAGAGGTTGCAGACTTTGAGAGGAATAAAGAAGTACTGGAGTGTTAGAGGAAGCCCCAGAAGATTTCTCACCCCCAGGCTCTTATCCACCTGATGTTGCACTTTCACGCAATATGCTTGCCAATGTAGATATACTCAAAAATTTAAAATATATGTATATCCCACATCGCCTGTGTATTTATAAATAAACCACTGTGTTATAAAAAACAGTATATGATCCAATATTGAATTCTGTCTTAGGGGTGGCTGCAAACAATAAAGGGTTCCCACAATGATTATGATAAACCTAAAAATATGAATGTACTCGCCTCCCTGTAATCATATATACCGTGCACCAAAACTCATCAAATAAACAATGACCTGATTTTCAACCATCAACAAACATTTCCTTGAAACCAAAAACACATGGCCCTATAATTTCCACACTCCATAAATTGTGCTTAATATATATCTTCCTTCATGGAATTTCTTATTATCTTTATTAGCTTTATTATCTTTCGTTATAAATGTGCACCACCTCCTATGTTTTTGTGAGCAAAACACACTGTTTCCACCACCGTTCAATAATACTGCGCTGACCTCCACTTTTTTTTTTTTAATAATTATTTTATTGATTTTCAATATATTACATTACACCAGTAAAATTCCAAAATATTCAACATTACACAATTCACTTATACCTCTGCATTCTAAAGAAAAACCCCACCCGCCCACTCCCACCCCCTTTTCCCAGCTCTTCCCAGCAACTGTCTCCTTCAATGCCCTTTGGATTTCCTCCTGCGTTATCGAGTTTTCTAGGTGTTTTTAATCGTTCTTATCCTAAAATCGGTAATTTCACCTTCTTTTAATAGCTTTGCCTCTGTCTTGCTCTCTCCTCTTCCCACCCCCCCCCCCTTTAACTGTTTCTGGTTTGTCATATTTACTATAATATTTTTGAATACCTTAGCGATATCTGTGGTCGAATATGCCAGATCTCCATTGTCGTTCTTAGTTTTCTTGATGTAATTCCTAGATTTCTTCTTTCTTCTCCTATTTTGAGATGGCTAAACGGGGAAAAGAACCTTGGGCCTTGCCTGAGTCAGCTGGGCGAGATGGTGGTACCCCAATCTGTGCATCCAGGGAGAAAGAGAGGGAGGCCGCACAAATGTTCTTCGCCAGGCCACTCGCCAGGGAAACTTCTCAAACACAACTTCTGGAATTCGATATTGATCTGGTCCTAGACTCTGCAAGCACTGCTCTGTTCCCCCTAGTACTGGCAGACAGAGAGATCCCATCCTGCAATCCCGCAGTGATTATCCCTCCATCCCAGTCTCATGGGACACAGGCTGCTGTTTCCATTGATGATAATCCTGAACCCACCCTCAGAGAGATTCTCTATGCGGTTACTACATGCACCTCATCTGTTGAGATTCTTACTGGGGAGGTGAAGGGGATGAGAGTGGAATTGACCCTCGTGCGTCAAGATATGCAGAAATTGCGGGATCGCACTGTGGCCTTGGAGGGGAGAGTGAGCACTTTGGAAGATGACTGGCAACCATTACACAGGGATGTGCGATATGTGCAATCAGTCGCTTCTACTAATGCCTCTAGACTAGAAGATTGGAAAATCTGTTACTCCGCAACAATGTGCGAGCACTGGCTATACCAGAGTGTGCTGAGGGTTAAAATCCTGTAGCCTTTATTGAAGCCTGGCTGACCTAAACATTTGGCAGTAATGTACTCTCCCCATGTTTGCAGTGGAGCGAGCACATAGAGTCCCAGTATGTGCTCCACTGGCTGTTGCTCTCCATGGCCTTTACTGTTCGACTCCTTAATTATGGGAACAGACACCATTCTTTCTCAGGTCAGAAGCAAGGGTAATCTGTCGGTTGATCATGTCCAAGTATCCTTTCCAGATCTTTCTGTGGAAGTTCAAAAGCAACACGCAAAATTCCTGGATGTCAAAAAACGACTTCGGGCTTTGTGCCTTCAATATGCCATGCTTTATCTTACTAAACTTCGAGTGATTGTGAAGGACATCTCATTTCTTTGATAATCCCAATGCGGCCCTACAATGGCTGGACGGAGCGGAACATCGCCTGGCGCCTTCTCCTTGAACTTGACCCTGGGGACCCAGTTGATCCTTAGTCCCTTAATCGCAGTTTAGTGGTACAGCGGGGTATTGTTCTCTCATTTCCTCCCTTTTTGCTTTTTTACTTTTTTCCCGCTTAAGTTGGGGCTCCTCCCATCTTACACTACCCCTGCATCTACCTACTGCTTGTATGAGCACAAGGCATTGTGTAAACCCCACCCTGTTTTTAGTCCTGAGGGGACCTTTTGGCCTCCTGCCAGTGTTTCCAGTTATCATTATTATGGATCTGTTGGCCTATATGTTGATGGTAATTTTCAGTTTTATTCATTTTTTGTGTATGGTTCACCTGAGATGTCTATCTGAGTGTATGTTGCTGGAACTGGCATTCCCGCTTCCTGCGGGCTGTCCTTCTGGCCACCCTGGCCCCTATGATCCGGGTATCTGTTTGCACTGGTTTATTACCCTGCTCCCCCTTTTTTTTTTTTTTTTTTTTTTTACATATTGTTTATCAGCTCTCTGCTCCCCCTGGGGGGGACATATCTGTCTACGACTATGCCATCCTTATCATTTTCCCTATATGCATTATGTCTGTCTTCCATAAAGAACTGATTTTTTCATCCTGGAATGTAAGGGGTCTGGAGGATAGATCCAGAGGAGGTGCTGTTTTCCATGTGTTTTAAGCATTTAAAACTATCTGTAGTATGTTTGCAAGAAACCCATTTGAAATCTGACACTGTCGGCACCCTCCGCTCCTGTTTATTTCCCATACAGTATCATTCCTTACATTCTATGTTTTCTAGAGGTGTGATTATCCTTATTTCAAACTCTGTTCAATTGGTTCATATGCGGGAGTGGATTGATGCGGAGAGCAGATATATTTTCCTACTGTGTACTTTGAATGGGTTTCACTGCATAGTGGCTACGATATATATTCCCCCGCCCTACTCTCCAGAGGTCGTTAAACGCCTAACTCAATTTATGGTTAATCACCCTGATGTTTCCCTATTGGCGTTGGGTGAATTCTGATAATTGCTTACTTCCCATTTTGGATAGATTGCCCTTCGGCAGCAGGGGCAGACAATTATCCCCTCAACCTACCCCATTTGCTAATTTATTTGCGGAATTGGGCCTCTGGGATGTGTGGTAGATGAAGTATCTGTCAGAGAAATGTTATTCTTGTTACTCTGCTACTCATAATGGGTTTTCACATATAGATTTGGGTCTATGGAATTCGATTGTCCTGCCATATGTGTTTGATGCTGCGTATGAACCCAGAGCTCTGTCTGACCATGCTCCTTTCTGGGTTAAACTGCAGGTGTGTTCCACCCGCTCTTGTCAGCTGTGGAAGGTTAACCCATTCTGGTTGACACGGTTTCTGAAGTCTGAGACGATTCCTGGGGAGTTGTCAGACTTTCTGTGACGGAACGAGGGCCTGTCCCCATCAGGCCTGGTTTGGAATGCAATGAAGGCCTTCCTGAGGGGTCTGATTATCCGGGAGATTTCAGCAGTTAAGCATATATCCAGGGAGTGGGAGGAGAGGGTGCGGCTAGATGTTCAGCAGAGAGAAATTCAGTTGATTCAAGACTCAAGCCCCTGCAACTGTATCTCCTGGAAAGAGGCCCAGACCCTTTATGAAACAGTGCTTACTCAAACAGCTGATAAGAAACAATGTTTTTTACAAAAATATTTTGAAGAGGGTGAGAATACAGGACATCTGGCTCTTGTGGCGAAATCGCCACTAGAGATGTCCTCCATATATAAGATTGAGGATGCTGATGGGGAGATCTGCACGAGTCATGTGGATCTCCTGAGAGTTTCCATCACTTTTATGATGATCTATATACTTCTAAAACGGTAGCCACCCATTCTGAGCATTCACAGTTTCTAGATGCATGCCCTTTTCCTGTGTTGTAGGAGGCTGACCAGAGAGTTCAGGATATGCCATTCTCTGTTTAAGAATTATCTGAAGCTTTAGTAGCTACTCCCAGTAATAAATCCCTGGGTTCTGATGGATTGCCATTTGAAATATATAATCGATATGGTGAGCATCTCCTTCCAGCCTTGCTTAATGCCCTGAATGCCGCCATGTTTGGAAATGGATTACCCCTCCCTCCATGAACAAAGCTATTATTATTGTTTTATTGAAGCCAGGAAAAGGTCAGTTAAAACCAGACTCCTATCGACCTACTTCCCTTTTGAATATGGATGCTAAATTGCTGGCCTGAGTTCTAGCTTCTAGATTGGCGTGGATTATTGGTAGCATTGTGCATAAAGATCAAGGGGTTTATTCCCTCCAGAGCGACAGCAAATAATATTCGTAGACTTTTTTTTGAGCTTACAAATTCCAGTGGACAACCCAGGGGGGAGGACAATATTATCTTTGCATGTGGCTAAGTCATTTGACAGTGTGGCATGGCCGTATATATGGGAAGTACTGTCTAGATTCGGTTTTGGTCCCAAGTTTATTAGCTGGGTATGTT